TTTAATTTCTTTCAAGTACAGAAGATTTCTCTCATTATTTCACCCATCGCACAACCTGGGTGTGTCAGTAAGTGACTAAGTTCTTCAAGTGTCTTTCTCAAGCTCCTCTTCCCAGAAGACCTGGGAAGGTAAAAGGAAGAAAGAATGAAAAGATTTTGTGTTGCCACATACAATAATTTGCACTAATGAAGAGGAAGAGGAGTGCTGGGGAGATAGCTCAGCAGCATAGATGTCTGCCTGGCAAGCACAAGGTCCTGAGTTCAATTCCCAGTTTAAAAAAAAAAAAGGGTAGAGGGCATGTGAGATAATATGGAATAAATCTCATGAGAAACAGACCAAGTCTTTGTTAGTTCTGCTAGTGGGAAACGAGAATACTTTAGGAAAAATTCCAAGTTTGTGTCATACAGTTAGTCAAATTTAATTTTTTAAATGAATTTAGGACAGGGTCTACAGGGTGTACAGGGTCTCACTACATAGATCAGACTGGTAGTAACCTTCCTGTTTTCAGCCTCCCAAGTGCTGGGATTACAGCCGTGCACCACCAAGTCTCAATCGCTGCCTCAGGGCACCCAGGGCGTAGGACTGGCACGGCATGGCAGTGATCATAGTCCACTGAGCTATCTGGCTGCAACACTCTGCCAAAGCAGGCACTTTAGTCCACTGAGCTATCTGGCTGGCCCACAACTAGTCAATTTTTATGAACTCCTTGTCTTCCCACTGAACCAACTCTTTGCCCACAATCTTGTAATGTTCCCTTTTAGAGAGGGCCACACCCATTGACCAGTGGAGCATCCTAAATTGTTCTTGACTTTTTTCTCTTCACTGTTCCTTTTTAATTAACCACCAAGTCTTACTGAGTATATCACCCAAGTAGCTCTTTCATTGGTCCACATCCTCCAGTCCAGGCACCTCTGGCCTCGTTCAGGCCCATTATTCTGGATTTAGGCTCCTGGCTTTCAGACTTAATTGCCTTCAGCCTTACTCTATGCTTTTCAAGTTTGCAGCCAATGGATTTTTCTAAAATGCAAATCTG